GGGAACATGGTACTGTGTATTTGCCCTGCCCTTAACTATTTGTTTATTCCAGCCACAGTCAGAAAAAGGGCACTGAGCCAGAAGGATCATTGCCTTGTCTCAGTAGAGTCATCCTTATATCAGTTAGTCCCTTAGAAAGAAGGTCCAGGGACAAATTATGGACACAAAGTCCATATAAAATATGGTGCCAGCACAGGTTGTATGGAAAGCACAGACTGAATTCCATGAAACATGAGACTTCACAGATAAACCATATCTAAACTTGTGTGCAATTCTTATTTGGGGAGGAAGGCAAGCCAGAGCAGGCAATGGCACAGTGCATTGTCAGGACAACTCTCATTGACTGTGTGGTTCTGGAGTCTGTGCCCTGTCTAAACTGAGCTGAGCAGAGTGGGATCAGCAGGCTCACAGGGGGTAGCTTGAAGTCCTGTCAGTAATGTTTAACCTGGGACAGGTCCAAATGAGAATGCATAGCCAGAACACAACAATGCCTGAAAAGCCTTTGAAATTCATGTTAGCATGACATTTGCTCACCTACTGCCAGAAATAAGGCCAGCTAAAAGTGACATTTTAATATTTTTGGAGAATGGAACTGGAGCAGCAATGGACTTTTTAATGGCTCCCAAATGACACTGCCACCTACCTCTATGCAGCTGACACTGCTACATACAACTATATGAAGCTGGAACTGTGTCTTTGCACACATCAATCAGAGTAAGACTCTTCAACTCTTGCACACACCTAACTATGCAGGAAATACACATGACAGAGTCTCTAAACACTCTTGCAAAACACCCACAGGTCTCATTTGTTTCTCAGGATTAGAAGTGCCCTGAAAATTGGAATGATCAAACTTGAAGTAAAAACTAAGAAAAACATACTAAATCCCCTGTGCTTTTGTGCAGTCCCAAACATAATCATAAAAATAATAACAAAAGCAAGTTTCCTGTGCCAAAACAAAATGTGCTCTTATTTGAAGAAAGAAAAAATGAAAAATACATTACAGCATCAATAGTAAGGATTTCACTTCTCCATGAAAGTATGGCTGCACAACAGCCACAAAACCTCAGACTCTACCCAGATATGTCAGTATCATTCATTCATAACCCTTAAAGAAAAAAGGAAAAGGGAATGGAAGAAGGGGGAAAGGAAATTTGCAGTTAACAACAACAACACCCTATCTATCTAGATATTTTCCAATCAGTCAGAAATAAATGGCCACAGGAAAAATACTAACAAAGCCCCAAACCCTGTGTAAACATTGCATGATGTTCAGAGACCTAAAATGCATGATGCTTGCAATTTGGAAGCTCTTACTCGTGATTTTTCTGTTGACAAGAAGCTGGGTTCAAGAAACAGTATTTTCCACATGCCATTCCACCAAATAGCCACAGAAAAACACCAGGGGCAGAACTACGTTGTTCAGAAGTCCTGGATTGCTACGGTTCAAAGGTAACTTGGCCCATTAAAGGAATAGGAAAGTTTGGATGCAAATCCAAACACCCTCCATGCTTGGCAACATTGAATCAGCTTGGATTTTATTCATCTCTAATCACTGAACATTCATTTTTAATTAGGATTCCTTGGGCCATGGGAGCTACCAGCTGCTGGATTCTGAAAAAGACGTGCCCATAACTCATGTCTCCGATGGTAGATTCCAGACAGGCAGAGAGCATCTTTGCAGACTGCCTGCATGGGGTGTGGAAGGGTGATAAGCTGTAGTTGCCCTGAAAGATGCTGCCCAGGTGAAAGACAAAAAGTTCAGAGAGACAGTTTACTGCTGCAGGTGGGGAGCAAACTCCCATACATCACTCAGAACAAGCATAGCTCTCTTTAACAGCATATCAGGTATGAAAGCAGGAGCCCACCCCAGCCCACCAACACATGGTGAGAGCTGCAGCCTTGAGAAAACCTTTTTTCCATGCTAGAGCCCAGCTAAAGCAGCCCAGGGTGAGTTGCAGTGCCACTGTGTCCCTCTGCCACACTGCAACACTACTGCAAGGACAAGCCACAATCCTGCTCACAGGAATCCTGCAGCACATTCTGGAGACAGATTTGGGAATCAAAGTAGGACCTTTCAAAGAAAGAAGGCAGGGAGAGGGAGAATAGGACAGCAAAAGCCAAGCGGCTGTGGTTACCTCTCCTGACAGATGTGACTTTGCAGAGAGGCAAAGGGGATTTGCACAGCAGGTCTCACCCCGAGCGACTAAAGCTGATGATTTCAATAACACTGCCCCAGGGAGACAGGGGCTCCAGGCTCTGCAAACAGTCAGTCTGCGCTATGTCAGCTGCACTGGAGTGCTGATTAGGCACTTTTCTCCTCAGAGCAGATCCATTCAGCAGGAAACGAGGCCACATACATGCTGCCAGAGCTGAGAAAGCCATATCCTGCGGGTCAGAGGCTCGGCTCGTGTGCGTCAGCACACTTCCAGAGCAGCAAGGGGACGTGCACTGTCTTACAGAGAGGGATGTGCACACAGCCTGGGGGAGAAAAAGGGAATTGTACTGCATGTTCATTTGGCCTTTGGGATTTTTGGTGCATGGGTAAACTGATGGTATCAGGTAAGAGACATCAAAAATATTGAAAAAAGTATTTTACAAAAGCAGAAACATCTCAGCAGCAACAAATGGGTGGAAGGGATGTAAGATTTTAACAGTGCAGAAAGGCAAATCATGCAGTTGCCACCTTTTATATCGGTTGCTCCAGTTCCAATAGCAGACCCTTCCAACAGAGGGACAAAGGAAAGTTGCATTCCACCCACCTGCAGCCCAGAGGTGGGAACCAATTTGTAAAAAGACAGCCTAGACCACTTTTAAAAGTACCTTTGGAACTTTGGAATAAATATCCCTTTAAGAATAAGAATCACTTTTTATGTTTTTATGTTGTTGAAGAACTTTCAAGATGGAGCAGCAAAAGTGATCCTATACAAAAGACAACACAACCCACAACACAGAGGGAACTGTCAAAAGTACAGAGCTCACAAACAAAGTAGGTTTTCAGTAAACTGTCAGACATGAGAGATTTCACAAGTCCAGATGTGCCTTTGATTCTTCTGTCTTCTTCCCCAGTTAAATGATCTAGTTTTGTCCCAAAACTTGTTAGGGTTCTTGATGCAATTAAAGGAATGGGGCAATGTTTGTTGGTGCAAACAGGAATGGGGATTGTTGACAAACAACCAACATTGATACTGATTCTTGCAGTGCATCTTTCAGCTCTGTAGGGCCCAAGCACTCACATGAGACCTTAGGTAGTCCTTATTAATGTCTTTACATCAGTATTTTGTACTCACCGTTAAAAGATTAGCAGGCTGAAGGAATTAATGAGACATGGAGTGAGGCATGAATGAGCCTAGAAGAATTATATGAGAAGGTTTAAGCTGTCAGTTGAGCCTAATATCTTCTCTAAAGCAATAGCAAGGAGTAGATGCTTTGGAAGGGTATCCAAAATCAGTCATCCCTGGTTTCTTCTCTATTTGCAGTCCAAGGACTTTCTGAAATGGAGTTTCCATCAGGACCGTCAAACTGCACAATTGCTGGTAGAATGTTTTTGGTGAATTTGTCTGTTTGTTTTTGAATTAGCATATCTCTGACAGGATTTCCCTTTGCTGCATTAAAGGAGTAGATTTGAATCTACAAATTTTAATTACCTCCCCAGGCAGTGTAAATTTAAAAACTGCTTCTGCTTCCTCAAATCTGCTGATTGCTCTGTGCATAATCCAGATCTGCCACTCTCTTATGAGAAGCGTTTGCTGTATGGACACAAAAGTCTCTCCCTGGAGGAAACAAATTGCAAGATTTTAAAGTTTTGAGTCTCATAAGGATCAGATTTAGCACCCACTAAATTATCTGCGATGCTTAAAAGCAGACATGTATTATCCTGTCTAAGTGATTACTAGGAGAGGGGTGGAGTAGCTAAATCTGTACTAATTGCCCTATCCAGGGAAGCAGGAATGCCAATGTGTTTGTATCATCCATACTTCATGCAACCTGAATATATAACCCATCATACATGTAGAAGAAGTATTAAATCCATATCTGGGGATATTTGTAGGCTTTCAAGTGACAAACATTTCAAAAGGAGCACAGGGGAAAAGTGGGAATGGACTGGAACGTGGCAACTTCCCTTATCCATTTTGGCCTAGCACTGTAGTGCATTTGTGAAGACAAGGACCGTAACCTTGCAGTGTCGCACCTTAAGCTACTACATCAATTAATGCAGGATGCTTTTGGAAAGATTGGTTGTCAGTGGTCAGTAGGTGCTGTCACAGCAGAGGGCAAACACCAGAGCACCGTATGCAATGTCCTGGCACAGATGTCCTAAACGCCTACAGTGTTCATCCCCACGCCTGCTGATGGGCTATTCCTGCTCCTGCCTGCCAGACCTCCTTGTCTGCCACCACCTGAACACACGGAATGGCAGATAATGGTAACTAGAACTGCCAGGGAATGGCGGTCCTGTTCCAGTTATGGAATGGGATGAGTAGAATGGGCATGATGGCCTGCAAAATTGCCAACACATCCAGGAAACCTGAGAGGATGCCTAATACAGCCTTCCCCATCCCAGAAATCTACCCCACAGCGTCCAGCTGCCGGGCTGCCTCACCTGCTCGTACAGAGGTGTTCTGTACTTAGGGAGGGAGGGAGGGAGTTTCCCATTTCTCATCGACACAGATCCTGTCTTTTGGGCAAGGTATGTGCGTGTGTGTGTGTGCAGAGAGGATCCCGCAGGCTAGAGGTGGAGCATCCCTGTCTAGCCCTAATGTCACCCTACAGGCATGGTGTGGACAGGGAAAGGGGGCGAGAAAATGGGGAGAGAGGTGAAAAGCGGCAGGACGCTGCGGAGGGTAAAAGAGTAGGGAGTGAAGGAAGAAAGCGGGAAAAAAAAAAAAAAAAAAAAAGGAGGAGAAAGGGGAGGAGATGAAAAGCAAGGGGAGAAGGGAGGACCGGGCGGGGAGGAGGCGAGAGGCCGGGGAGGAGAAGAGGAAGGCGGCTCGGCAGAGGGGAACGGGACGGGACGGGAGCGGCGCCCCGCGGGCCATGCGCCTCCTGGCTACGGCGCTGGCCGCCCTGCTGGCCACGGCCTCGGTCCCAGGTAAGCGGCACCATGGGATCAGCGCCCAGCGGCACCGACCCTTCCTCGGCCCGGAGGGACCCCGGCCCCGCCTCGGGCAGCCCCGCCCGGCGCCGCGGAGCGGGCCCGGGACCCCGCACCGGGCCGGGCTGGGACAGCGCCGGGTCCGGGACCCCGCACCGGGCCGGGCTGGGACAGCGCCGGGTCCGGGCAGCGCCGGGGTCGGCGCCAGAGCCGGGCTCGGGCAGCTGCGGGCTCGGGGCCAGAGCCCTTGTCCCCAGCCGGGCAGCCCCTCGCCCGCCCGGGCCCTGCCCCGCTCCGCCGCCGCTCCCCCGGGCTCCCGGCAGCAGCGCTCCTTCGCAGCGATCGGATCGTTTTTAGAAAAGAAAGCTCTTTCCATGCGAGTTCATGGAAGTGGGTTCGCGACCGTCTTCAGTGCCAGGCAAAGCCGAAGCAAAGGGAGATTTGTTATTGTTTTTCCCACAGGTGCCCTGATCGCGTTGGCATCAGGTGGAAGTGGAACCTGTAGGTCGCTTGTAAAAAGTGTCCTCCCTTTAATGCCTTTACACCTCCAGAAACAGAGGTGTAATGGACGGCATTGTGTGTCCTGAAGCTGCAGAACAGACACGGAGTGTGGACCTGAATAGTGAGGTGCAGTGAGCTTACAGGCGTGGGGAAGGTGGGGAAGCCTTGCTCGTCAAGGCTAATGAAAGAGTTCAGTTTGAGCTCCGCTGCAGAACGGCTGGAGATGATGGAGGCAGAGGTTTGGTTCAAGTCCATCTTCAGTCAATGAAGAAGCTTTCTCTGAGGGGGAGCCTCTGACTTGTGAAACTCGCAGACAGATCTGTTCAACTGAAAACAGCTGCTGTTTTTTGGTGCTCTTACTAGCCAGCTCCTAATTATTTTCATTTAAACAAAGAGTTTTGCTTCTTCCTGGCTCATCTGCTCTTTTTAATTGTAACGAAATCAAACTAAAGCAGGCTATGGCAGTAGCATAGCTTCACTGAACAAACTACAGCACAGATAAAAGCCATCCCATATGCTTCTGGTCGTGCAAAGCTCAGATCAGAAGGTAACCACCCTAGTCGCATGCCCCTCTAGTTCCCCAGATATCCCAGTGTCCTTGCAGCCCTGGAGGTTGGGTAGATTCTCCATGGAGGAAGGAAGAGAGGCCCATATACAACACTAAACTAGACTCACTGTGAGCAGCTGTGCACAGGAAAACTCCACTCCTATGTCAGCTGAAGTAACTTTTGGGGTTCTCCCCCAAAACCGCAGCCATGCTGAAACTGCTCACATGGAAGGACCCAATGGCCATGGTAAGTCTTTTGGCACTGTTCCAGTACAGAGGGGAGAGGCCCTGGCATAAACAAGTTTCTGGGTGCTTGAAGTATAGTTTGGTACTCCTGACAGTGCTGTTAAAGTGTTTTGCTGTGTAATATGGCAGACAGCAATGTTGAAATGTAGTTAATTCTTGGACTTGAACTGGTGTAAGCAGAAGTGGACTATTTTCAAAATGGGATTTTTTAAAACAGAGCTTAGGCAGCAGTCACCTTTCCTGACTCCCCACAGGCTACTGAGACATGCTGGTGGAACATACTAGAGAAGCAAACAGCTAAAATGTTGGTATGGAAGCAACTAAGCAAGCTCATTGCAAAAGGAGAGAAGTTTGATGGTTAAGCACACTGCAGAGAAATCACCAAGTCTCTGACTCTCTCTCCTTTCCCTTTCTATAAATAATTTCCCTATCTAAGCAGAAACCAGACTGAAACTCTTGTGGTGAGCTCTACCTGAACGGCTACATCGTACTATGCTGGGAAGGCAGAAGAAGAAAACAGTGATTCCTCACTTGAAACAGCAATCTGAAGTCTAGAAATCCAGTGCTGTGTTGGCACACAAGCCTGCTCTTAAGTTATGAAGTCTCCTGCTCTTGGCAAGGAGCCCATTACAGGGGTAAATCTCATGTTGGGGCTGACCAGTGCCTGCTAAAGACAGGAGGAACATGTCCACCAGTGTCTGAGAGCCTTGAATGAGGGTTTTCCTTTCCACATAGGTGGTAAATGAACTCTTTCCTTCCAAATCCGCTGTTCCTCCTCCAGTGGCAGTAGGAGGTTAAAGTCAAATGGATATTGTTTTTCTGCTTTATAAAAAGCATCACCCAACCCTGTTCAACACGAGCTGATACCATGATAAAAGCAGCATGAGATTTCCAAAATTTTCCCATTGCTGTACTTGGGCAGCTGCACCAATGGGAGCCACAGAAGGAAGATAAGGAGATAGGTTTCTACTGATGAGAAACATGAAGGATGCAAAATTTGATATGTCCCTATAAAAAGGCATGTCCCCAGAGGAAGAGTAGAAGCCTTAGGTATAAAATACCAATATTTGTATGAGAGTAAACAGCTAGAAAGAGATCAGAATCTCCATGTACAATGCCACTTTATCTCCTCACAGAGTCTTCCATCATCACCATATCTGACTTCCTCTGTATTTTCTCTTGGGTACTTCTTGGCAATATGTTCTGCCTAGTTTGGAATTAAGCAATGAGCTTTTTGTGTTTTATTTTGAGATTCTGTTTCACAATTCTCCTAGCCAACTTTTTCAAAAATGAAATTCACATGTCAGGAAAATGACATAATTGTTTGTCTTTACAGTTTTCATGACTATGTTAATCATTTCAGTAGAAAAAAAGGTCTGTGTTTTTCATTTACCCAAATCATAATTTTCTGACTTATTAAACATTTATTGCCTAAGTATGTTTGAGTACTCCAAAAAGTGTTGAAAATCTCAAACTTACTCCTTATTTACTAAGCAGCACAACCTTCAAAATTGAATCTTATTTTGATGGCAGAGACAGCCATTTACTGGCTTCCTTTCTGCTGGTTAGGCACCAAGGCTGGTAAGTCCAGAGGGTAATAACTGAAGTTTCATGCCTGGAAAGCTTTTGGTGGGATTCATCCTTAATTTTAAATTTCAACATCCTATTCTACTTCTATGCTTTCTACAGTCCAAAATAACGTCTTTCTTTGACATTTACATGAATTGCAGATACAAACATAATGCACAAATAATTTTATCAATAACCTCATCCATGCTTAGCTGTAGTTTCTTCAAGATTTTTTTTTTAAAAAGCCAAACTCTTCTTTATACAAAATATTTTCTTCTTCATAACGAAAAAATAATATCTGCTTGGAATAAGCATATCATTCAGTAGAGATTTTGATTGAAGTGGTGCAAAATAATTATCATACTATTAATTTCCAGAATTCTTCTCAGTTGCAATGCAACTTCTGTAATTCAGTGGATTTACTGTAAGTAAGGTAATATAATTCACTGCTTCATTTCACTGCTTCACTGGGACCATGAAACCAGTGTCTCTGCCTCCAAAACTCCTTCAGAAATAGAATGGAAATACTTTACTTGCTTATTTTGAAGATAAATATATGTTTGTGTTTCAGGAGCTGATGTCAGACAATAGTCTCTGCCAAAACGCTCATCCCCTTTGTTAAAATGTTCCTTGCTGATGTGCTAGAAAAGTGTCCAGAAATGAAAAAATCGTTCTCCCAGAGTTGCAATTCTCATTAGTGTTTGAGTACAGTACAGTACTCACATAACAGGAAGTTCACAGTTTAGAGGACATTTCATGCTTTGCAGAGTGCATTGCAGGGAGTGCTTGCTCACTGCTGGAATATGATTCTCTCTCCAGTGGATGCCCTCACACTGGTAGATTACACAGCACAAGTCATTTAGGGAGCACATTGCCACAACACACCATTGGTCAAAAATAGATCACTCTCTGATGTGACTAATCAGGACATTCTTAATGTGCATTGGGAAGGAAATAAAATGAGTGTTGATTCCCACACCTCAGAAAATCAGTCCGGTATAAATCAGTTAGGTCAGGAAAGGGAAATCTTCCTCTGATGAACAGTGTGGACATATTTTCAGCCTTCACCTACACTGGCTATTATTAGAAGTAAAGCAGAGAGACAAAGAACTGGTCTAAGTGATGATTAAGGATGAAGAACATTAAAGAAAAGAATCAGAAATTAATGGAAGAATGGAATAGTCATTTGTCCCCAATATGATCTCTTGTCGTATTTTGTCATGCTAGTCTGATGGATTTAACCCACGTTTGAGATGACCATCTGATTATGACAAAGAGAACATTACTTAAAACAGAGGACATGGGAAACGGTAGGATGTAGAGAATTCAGTGGTCTGACAGTGATAATCTAGGGAGCAGTATGATGTAAGGTCTGCACAAATCATGTCTGAAAGAAGTAGACAGAAGCATGCACATTGAAATTGTGACCTTATCAAATCTGCACAAGATGAGGACAGCACATAGGAAAAACTGAGGATGGGTTAACAGAAGTGGAGCAGAAGTTAGTACAGCAAAGTCACATACTTGGGGATTAGTAAGAATTTCTTTGGTACGCTGGTAACTGAACTGCAAATGACAAAGAAGGGAAAACACCCAAGTATGCTATTTATAACGTGACATATAATCACGTATAAAAGTATCATGAAAAAAGAACAAAATAATTCTTGGATATACCAGGCAAGGTATATCACAGTCAAATCTGGCAAGTACTGTGAGTATTCCACAGGACATTAAAGAAATTCTTTCCAGACACTGCCTATAACTGCAGTCAAGTCCATTAAAAAAAATTAATTACAATCAAATCCAAAATTTAAACTATAACCAATGCAGAGAAGGGCTGTTAGGGTGAATAGGGAAGACACTATTTACTAGAGGGGACTAAAAAGAACTGGTCTTCTTTAGCTCAACAAAGCAAAGGCTGAGGCCAGATAATTGCTTTGTATATGGAGTCAGGAAGTAAGCTCTAGAGAAGAAAACGCTATTTTAGGCTTCAAGCTGGCACAGGAGCAAATGAGCATAAACTGGCTATTGAAACCATTTAGCCTGGAAGTCCTAAGAAGGATGCAAGCTGTCAGAAGGGTTGGTCACGGAACAGCTTTCCAAAACTGTTCAGACTGATAAAAGATTATGTGAAGTTGGTCCTCTGACAGTAGCAAGGTCTCCATGTCAGCTCTAGGTTATTGATTAGTGACAGAAAAATGCTGGAGCAGACTCATTGAAGGAGAGTCTCATGCCATCCTTAACATTCACAGAGAGGCAGATGATGTCAGGTTCTCCAAGATCATTAAATTGCTGCACACTAAACAGATGTCATCAGTTTACCTGCTGTGGGCTTGCATGCTGAGACAGATTATGGTGCTGTTGTGCCAGTATGGAGGATTCTCACCATCTTTTCTTTCCTTTACAGATATTTGTGAGGCTTTAAATGTGACGGTCTCTCCTGGACCAACAGTGCAATACTCGGAGGGGGATAATGCTACCCTTTACTGCCACATTTCTCAGAAAAGAAGGACAGACAATTTGCTGGCTGTGCGGTGGGTCTTTGCTGCATCACCTACCCAGGAGCGTCTAATGATCAAAATGACAAAGTTTGGGTCTGTCCAGTATTACGGAAATTACACTCATCATTTTCACAAGCAAAGACTTCATCTTCTTAAAGAGAAACATGGAACTATGTACAAATTTCTTATTTTAAGCCTCCAGCAAACAGATCAAGGACATTATATATGCAAAGTACAGGAAATTGGCAAACACAGAAATAAATGGACAGCATGGTCAAATGGTACAGCAGCTACTGAAATAAGAGGTGAGAGATTATTGATTTCACGTCTATAATTTCTTCTTGTCCTGTGATCCCTTTTTTTCCCCTTGTAAGTTCATCCATAAGACATTTGAACTTAGATTAATTTTGAGTATAATAGGTGGCTAGGAGAAGAAAACCTAATACTCAGCTTATGTTCTGCCTGTCTCTTGGTGTTTCCCTTGCTCTTAATTCTAGTCTAGCAGCAGTTGGTAAGTAGCACTTTCACCATCTCTTCAGTACTATTGTTTATACCACTTTCAGCCAGAAAACAGAGCTAGAAAAGCAATGGTCAGCCTGCTGGTATTGACCTTTGGATAAAATGACCAACAACAAGTGGCAGATGTAAGCCAAGTTGAAAACAAGCCATCTCTTTGGGATGGATTAGCTCAAATTTTATGCTACCACACCCACACTTTCAGAGATGGGTGAAATTGGATTTGGAGAACAGACTCCTTTGAAGAGGTGGTTTTGCTTAGCAGCTATGCCATCAGTGCTAGCTGGCAAACTACCCCCTGCTTGTGTCTTTATAAATAGATTTATAAACGGATTTATCAGGAGTTCTTAGCAGGGGAATGACATGTTCCAAGTAAGTGGCAGCAGAAGAAAAAGCAGTATAAAATATTGTCACATCACATGTCATACCTCTCCTCACAATGACACTCCACGTCTTTCATAGCTTCTCAGGCTATTGCTAATTATAACACTGAAACCTCTCATTACTTTTCATAGCTGAACTATGGAGTTCAAATCAATGAAGTTATTATAAAGAATGAAATCCATAATTTTTCAGTCCAATCCTTAAATAATATTTTCATGATTTTTAGTATGAGTCATGAACACATAATCAGAATAGGGATTTGAGACCTCATGACTTCATCATTTTCACACTGTCTGCTGAGCTGCTCTCCACTTCAAATGACCCAAAGCAGAGCAGGAAACCTGAAATGAGGGAGGAAGACTGGCCAGCCTGTAGAGAGTTGTGGACACTCGATGGGGATCTGAGGCAAACACCACAACCATCCTGACCCCTTAAAATCATATTTATTCTAACTCTAAATCCAGAATAAAGGTATCAAAAGATATCTGAAATATTGCATATCTTTAAATGCCATAGCAACTGTTTTACCACTTGAAGCCTCTTGCCTGGAAACAAAGGAGCACCTTTGCTAGCATTTGGCAAATGCACCCTGAGTGTATGGTACTTGCTGCACTTGAGAGGGAAGGTAACTCTTTTCCAAGTACTGATAAAGTTTCCAGTTTTCCCTACAGTAACACTTGGGCTTTTCAAGGAAATTTTATTCCAAATACATTTTGTATTTTATATTATGATCAGTTACACTTTTTATTGCAAAGGGATTTACTTATATTACAGTTAGTCCTGGGATGCAACAAAAGGAGCAATACAAATTGCCTGAAGCATTTGGATACTTAAGTTTTACTGCTCATGCTTTATCTAATAAGGTAGCAGTGTTCCACCACATCACAGTTGCTGTGTTGCCTAACATTTTGTTCCAGCAATGCATCTGCAGTTATGCCCAAATTCAAAATAGTATCTTTATGCTAAAGCAGCAGGCAAATTTCTTAAAACGTTGTGCATCCAGCAGAGGCAGAAATAGAACACTCCCTTTTTTATTTTTTAAATTCATTCGCACAGGAGGAGGAGGTTACTTTTAAAGACTCAGATTTCCAGAGAGAAAAGAAAAGGATAATTCTGCTTCTTCAAAGTGTAACTTGCTCTTGAAGCAAGTTGAGAGCTGGATCTGTAGTATCTATTGCTATTAATTTATATTCCAATTTTATTATTTGCTAGCAAGTTTGCTTGTTTACATTTGCATAGGCCATTAAGAAGTTGCAAATACATTTTGTTGTAACACATCAATTTGTACAAATACACATGTTGGACTTACAGAAAAACAGTTGAGTTACAGGCTACAATTCCTTACTATGTAATGATGACTGTTAAATTTTAGCTACATATCTGGCTTCTACTTTAGGGGCAAAATACATTTCTTTGGAAAAGAAGCCTTGTTGTGGAGATGGAGTCCTTAAGGTTTTCTGTTCCTGCACTCATGTCAACTACAGCAACTCTGTAGTGTTTTCAGAAGGTCCACCTGAAATTTGAACTGTTGGACTTTGCCCCTTTCAGTGTTGTGAATACAAGACATCAGATAGCATTTGTGAGAAGGGCACTGTTAAATCTTGTTGGTAAAACCAAGAGAAATCCATGAGCCAATGTTGCCAAGAAGTGTCTCCTAATCCAGCCCCACAATGTCTTCTGTCTAAGACAAGGTCAACCTTTTCCCCTTCCCCCATATTCTCATTAAAGGCATCTCCTCCTTACTTGGGCTTGTGTCATCAATGTCAGCCTAAAACCGAGTTAATTATAGTAGAGAATACACTAAAATACTAGTTTATCAGAGAATAAAAAAAACAGAAAAAACCCAAAAAAAACAACAACAGAAAAATGGTTCTTCTACTCCCTTCCTGTCAGAAAACTCAAAATAATCAGTATTCTTTTCAGAACAGTATTCAACACCCCAAAAACACTATTTACAATCAGGCAATCCCTCATGATACTGCACATCTCTTAGGAAGAGCAATACATGTTCCAAATAGTTTACAATCTAAGAGAAGAGACTGCTTGTAGGAGGACAAATGTAGAAAATTAGGCAGTCCAGCTATAATCCTGCTGGCATGGACAACAAAAACAAGTAGATGATCACAACAATCTGTCTTGTTGGGAAGCTTATTAGAGTTTCCCATAGAAGAAAGTATTAGTTGCACGTGGCATTTTCTAACAGTAAAAACGTTGCAAGATACAGGAATGCCAGATTATTTTTTTCCCAAAATGAACAATAGCCCTTTTTTCAGGCAATTTTTCCTGAAATACTTGCCAAAAATCTACACATGTGATCCTTTCATGTAACAACTCAGTAATTTGTTAGAATATTCAGGATGAGCTTCCCATCACAACTGAAGAGAAGATTTCATTAGTCCTGAAAGTTGTATATCCGTTGATCTAGGCTCACACTTCAGGTTCCTGCAGGGCACTCCTTAATGAATTCCCTTGCCAGTAAGATACTTGTTCTCTAATCATTTGCCACATGAAGCTCTCTTGGAGGTTCAGACCTCACTGGAGATCTGGAGGACATTACCAGACTCCCATTTCATTGCAGTCATTGCTAGAGGAAGAAAAATCATGGAATTGGCATAAGTGACATTATCTAATCTGATGTCATAAAAAATACCAGGAAGGGTAAACAATCTGGCTGAGGAGAGCAGAGAGGGTTTTGAACAATGTTTCAGCAGTCAGAGCATTTGGATTCTGGTTCTAGGCTGTACACCTGTTATATTGACAGTCATCCATCGTCCTGGAACAGAGAGGACAATTCTGTGCAGCTGAACTGTTTCATCAAAGGGCAATTAGGCAAAACAAGATCTTGGGGCACTGAAGTCTTAGGCAGAATACATTTACTTCAAGAGGTTCAAACTTTTTATGCCTGACATTTTAAAAATTTTGTCATATCTTCTTTGGTTTTTTTCAGTGATTTCATCAAAATCTTCTGATCATCCCACTTTCAAGAAAAACCATGAAGCTTGGAAGTTTTTTGAAGGTAAAGATGCATCTAACTGCTACTGTTTCTATATATGTCAGTTTAGTCCAAAGGACAGGACAACTAAAGTGCCCCAAATCAGGACCAATTTTGCTAGTTCTGTGCAAACCCAGCCTTGCCTGAGAAATCATCCCACAAAGTACAAGGGGTCAAAGAGAATGGAAGACAAAAGTGGGAGATAAAAGAGAATGGAAGAGTCCAGCTTCAGTTTCTTGTATATCTGTTAATGGCAAATGGGAAAATAACAACTGGAAATAAGTTACAACGCCTGAATAAAAGCCATGAAGGGAGACTGTACATGAAGGTTGTAGTTTGAAAAGGAAAAGACAATCATACAAAAATTTCAAGCCAGTGCTGCCAGCAGAAGAAGCAATTGCAGACTTTCTTCCTCAGCCACTCAGCACTCTCCCCACTGACACTTTTCTTGTTTCATTGTTCGTGTATTTGTTTTTTCCTTTTGTTAAAAAAAAAAAAAAAAGAGAAAAAACGTGCAGCTGTTTGAGCAGAGAAATAACCCAGCTGAAGTCCTTTTGGGTTTTGAGTTATTGCTCAAAAAATCCCCCAAACCCAAACCAGTCCTTTGTTTGCTCCTGAAAGTCACAACTCATAAGTGCAGTTACGCCTATTTGCATTTTTGCAGACTTCAACCAAATTTTAAACTGAGCAGGATACTATAAGAAAGTTTCAAGAGGGTTAAACTACTTCTGAACTGTTACCCTAAATCTTTTGGGCCAGAGTCTGTTTAGATCTTGTAGATGTAACTTTTTTTTCTGTCCTATCATCATGAAGCATCAGCTGCAACACTGACAATTATCTGTGCTTGGGTTTCAGATCTGTACGTGTACGCAGTGTTTGTGTGTTCCATAGGAATCATCAGTGTCCTCCTTTTTACACTTGTCATTCTCTGTCAGTCCCTTCTGAACAGGAGGAGATCCACAGGTGAGCAAAATGCCATTCTTGATGACTGCAAAGCCCTTGCCAAAAAAGGGGGCAGGGGGAGGGGAGAAGAGAATGCAGAGAATGAAATAAATATTTCCTTGCCTTGATTGTAACTTTAAATAAAATTGGTAGGAAGAAAAAAATTCTGCCAGCCAGGCATTTCCTTCCTTTTAAATAGGGAGGAAATAAAATTTTAAATTTGCTTTAGACTTTCCAAAAATCTTTTGCCTTTGCACAAACATAAGTTGAAGGTAGTTGGAACTTCTTTCAGAGAAGACTAAGTGCTGAATCATTAAGTTGCATTCTGACCAGAAGCTAAAATTTTACATGAGTCAGCTTCTCCAGACGAGTAGAGGGGTTTTGAAACAATCTTAACTCTATTCTATTTGAGTAGCTGCGTAGCTGTCAATATTCTTGGGAATTTGAGAGGTTTTATGAGCAATCTCTCACTTGCAGTATTTTCTGAAACTAAAGCCTTATTTCAACATTCAGATATATAATTTCATGATAATATTTCAAGATCAAGGGTTACTGTTTCATTCTTTGCCTCAGAGAGGTTTTCTCAAAGAGGCTTCATCAAAGCAGTGTTGTTGTAAACAGAAGTGCTGTTTCAGATCTGTGGAGTGACCACTGCAGGCTCTATTTCCATTTAAGTTTAAAAGTGGTTTATTTGGAGACCTCACAAAAGCTGCAAGGATGAGATACCAGCACACTTAGCAGCCACCATGTCAGAGGAGAGTATAAGGACCACCTCTGAACAGAAGCTTTCAGAAGGAGTTTGGTTAGTGACTTGCTTTGTTAATGACAGGAGAGAATCATGGCTTTGCTGCCTCTACAGCCTACACAGATCCCACGAAGGAATGAGTGACTCAGATACACAAGTGAGAAGACATGTAAAGCCAGAAATAGATGTATAGAGAAGCCCTTGCCTGACCACAAACACATTTCAGGCTGTGGCTCCATCTTCCTGGTAGTGCACTTAGCAGAGCAACTCTGATTCTAACTGAACCCAGCAACTGTGCTTGCCAAGAGGAAGGAGTGAGATCAATGTTATTCTTCCTACTCTCTTAAGTGATGACAAAGGTTTTGTGCCAAGGGAGTACCCACACTTAAGTATGTTGGTCATGGTGAGTTACCCTGAAGCCACAAGCACTAGACAGATGTATCCCAGTTTTTCTTGAGCAGACATTGGGTTAGAATTTGCTTGGTTTTGTGAATTTACTGCTGTGAGCATACAAGCAGCTTCAAGGAAGGGTCTATTTACATTGAACCAACACCAGCTAAATATTGAAATAATATACAATGCAGAATAAGATACACAAAAGAGGAAAGGTATGTTCTTCTGAGCTGCTAAAACCTTTCTTCTCCACCTAAATACCTTTGCATGATCAAAAACGTGTCAGCACTGTACATGAGCATTCTCTTACTCCTGAAGGATTACTGTTCTATGCATTTTAAAAAGGCCTGACAGGTAGATGGAAGCACTGCCTTGACAGGCTTAAACATTGTCCCTGTGTTAGTCCCAGTTCCTGGTGCTCTCGGCACCCATCTCCTTAGGACCAAAATGCACCTCCTGGGAGCTGGATAGCTCCCTTAGAATGGGAGAATTCAGGTAAGTCCAAATATGAAAACTTTGCCATAGAGAGGGGCATAGTCCTGTGAGTGACCTGTTGTCTAGTCTTCATGGTCCTTTAAAGAACAGAGAACGAGAAGGGAGGGACATGTTTGTGTTGCATTCAACTTCACATCATGACCCAGGGATGCACTCTCTCATCTTTCTGAGATAAAAATTGACAGTAGGTTGACCAGAAGAGCCAGAGTCTGTCCTTTAAGAGAGGCATGGAAGCCACAAAGCCACAAAAGAGAATCTTAATAACCCTGGCTCCTAAAAGGCTGCAGTGGGGGCAACTGCCCTTGCTCAGGACTACTGACTCAGAGGAATACAAAGTAGAAGGATTTACACAGCTCACACACACAGCTGTCAGCGACAGGATGGTGGCTGGACTGGACCTCTGATCTGATCCCAGAAGGGATCCCTTTATGCCTGTGGCCACAATCTGACTTACATTAGGAACAGCCGTGGCTCCTGTGGGTGAATGGTTTATTTCAGGCTTCTGGAAATAAATACAGGCACCACAAGGGAAATAAAAGTCTTCAAAGTAAAATTACTGGCCTGCTGTGCTTTTCCTTAGCAAGATGTCTTTTGGCTGGGCTGACCACTGGAATGTGTGTTGCCCAGCATTTCCACAGCAGATATTTGGTGTTGTTTAATACATTCCCCTCTCCTAAGACTCGTTATGTCTTCGAGTCAGGCTGCATTTTAAAGCACAGTACAATGTATGGTGACTATCATTAGCTCTCCCACTGTAACAATCTGGCAACTCTACCTTCTCAGCAACACAGGTCTGTCTGCAGTGCTCATTTGAAACTCGTAAAATATGTTCGTGTGAAGCCGCATTTTCTTTCTGTTTTTCTTTTCTTTAACAGTGAAGCATTACCTGGTGAAATGCCCCCAGAACAGGTAGGAGATTACACATCTCTTTACTCCAAACCAAGGTACCAGTTCTGGATTTGTTTTGCTATGTGCATGCTGAAGAATAGGAGTAATGTTTTCAAAATGCTTTTGGGAACATAAAGAGTAGGAGATCCCTGACTCATGAATGTGCCTGCATGGAAAAGGAGATCTACCTGGGCTAGCTGTAGGTGTTCCATTGACAAGCCTCTCCTTGATGCTCTGAATTGCTCTCTGAAGAAGCCTACTTTAACTCTGTGTGGGTTTCTAGGGTTCCCCAACACCTCATGTTAATGACTTAAACTGTCCATGCACATAGAACAAATCACAATGTTACACAGGGATTCCCACACCTAGGAACGGAGTGGGGTTCCAAAGCAGATTTTCAAGGCCCAAAATCTGTTCCCAGCTGAAGACTCCAAGTGATGGGAAGAATTCTGCTACTGCTGCAGTGTAAATCACTGTCCTTTAAATACCACCGGCTGCCAAAAGTTTTTTGATGGCGTGGCTATAAAACTGATTTCCATTGTATGATTTTCGTGATACGTATATTGGACTGGAACTGCAGTAAAAGTATATGACAAATACTTCATAAACAAAAAAAATAAAAGAGAGATGCCTCATAACAACACAGAAGGACAGCTGTTTCCCAGTTCTCCGTGACAGAAACCATGTGTTCCTAGCCTTGCAGTTTAAATCCAACCTCTTGGTATCACATACTGTTTCTCACAGTCTCTTTAGACACTATAGGATTCAATGCCAAGTATAACACACCCTAGATCCTCCAACAGTGTGATTTTTAGTGGATTCTCATGGGATTATCGTGGTATTCAATCTAACTGGCACTCAGATGAAGTGAAATCAAAACAAAGTAGCACAGTGTTCAGGAGAGACCAATGCAAACCAAAACTTTCATGTAATTCATGGACAGATCATTGTTCTGTGACCTTGACTAGCCAGTGCACCACCCAAAAATTTAGAGACAGCTCAGTAGTTTTCATTTTTTCTGGATGTTTTAGCTTTCCCCCTTCTTTATTAAATGCTGGGACAAAGTTGGAATTACAAAAAACAAACAAAAAAGAGTGGGGAGGGGGAGGAAATCAGAGTATATTGGTAGGGAACATAAAAAGAGAAGAAAAATGAGACCCATCTGAAAAAATGGAGCATGGCAGTCAGATGAAAACTCATACTGCAAACTCTGACTCTCTGGGAATAGATGATAGCAGTGATACTGCTGCAAACACTGAGCTTATGAGGCTGAATAGAGGGGAGAAAACAAGCCAATGTGATTTCTTCACCACAAAACAGATTCTCTGGAAGTGAAGGAAATGTATGACTCTATGTGGATAAAAACACAGTTTCATGTGTTTCAGTGTGACAAGTTATGCTAATGCTAATGAAATCCTCAATCACACAAATGCATGCCTAAAGTGCATTGACTTTGGGGCTTTAAAATTAAAAAGCTATGAAAGTGTTACCAGCATCCTAATTGTTATGTTTCACACTTGGTACCATTTATTTTCCACCCTCTGCTCAAAACACAAACCACCACTTCCTTTGAACTCATTGCTCTTCACCTGCAAATATCTTGTCTTGGAACTTAATTCAGCACATTTAGACCCAAAACCTACTGTCTAAATATCCATTAGGCCAAACTGATTAACTAATTTGCAAGAGATTCTTGCCATTTAAAATTACTGCTGTGCAAAATTCAGCCTTCATTAGAGAAGCTCAACTCCAACTCCCTTAGTGATATTTCAAACACAGAGTAGAATCCAGTTTCAAAATTACATTAATAGTCTGGTGTCTAAGAAATGTCTGTATTCCCACTGCAGTAATACCTAAGCATCTTAAAATATTTTACATCTTGACATCAGAATGATGTTTTTACTTTTAATTGGAATCTAAAGCACAAAGGGGTGAGTGATTTTCCCCAGGTCTCATAAAAATGGCCGTGGTAGAAAAGAAAATTAAATCCAGATTTCCTGAGTATAACAAAGCAAATGTTTAGGTTTTGGCTTGCTACTTGACCAGTAACAAATTAAGGAAAAAAAAAAGAGTTGACCAAAACCCATTTCTTTACCACATTTTAAAAATAACTACCTAAATAAAATAGTACAGTTATTTTTAGTTTTTCAAACCACCTAATTCAATTCTCTGGTGTTTTCTTTTCTTTAAATAACCTTCTTCATATTATTTTCCTTGTTATTGGATCATTTTGCCAGTTTCCAGAAACCCCCAGGAGGTGAAGCTTTGAAAACAGGAACATTTTTTTCTGTCTCATATATTTGTGTTGGCCTGAACTCTCTAGTCCTTGAGTGACTGTTCTTCTGGAGATAAGTAACTGGAGGTAAATAAAGTGTTTGCCTCAGAAAGCTGTCCATCTCGACACCTTGGTTCCACAGTGCCAACCTCACATCACAGGAACAAATTCTGCCACATAGACCCAGAAACAAAACTCCAGCTGTCCTTGGCACCTTTTCACACAGCTCTCCTATCTGGAAAATATCCAAGTAACTCCCACTTCACTCAGGTGAATTTTTTGTCACCCTCCTGCAGACCTTTGACAAAAGAAAATATCTGACTTAGATGGCAACAGGAAAGGTGCTACATCCTAGACTCCAATAAGGATAGCAAAGCCAGAATTCTCGTACTTTCCCAGGTCTTGCAACAGCCATGACCTCCAGGGAAACTGATGCCCCAGTTCCATGATTATTGCACACCTTCCATGGGTTACTTCCCAAACCCCTGTATTTTTCTTCCTCTCTAAAAACTCATTAGATCCTTCAAGAAATGCACAATGTGACCCCGTTGAAATAGAAGCCAGGGGGCTGAAGAAGGAGCTGGAGATAAAATACTAACTTTTCTTTCAGACAAGCTCACAAAGAGTCAGTGTTTCAGAGCCAAGGAGTCTTTTCTGAGCCTCCTTGTTTGGTTTGAGGAGCTCAGTTCTAAGGCAGCGAGTATAGTTATTGTATCTCCAGAAGTAGTTAACCCTGTGTGGCCCTGGCATTTAAAAGAGACCTGCATGTCTCAAATACATTTCTTTGTAGCTTCACTTCCCCTGGCAAAGCAGGAATAATAACTAATGCAGTGAATTGACACTAAGCCTTTTCATATATTGTGCTTAGAGAAGTTATATTGGAGCAACAGCATCTTTAAGCTACACATCTGCCTTAATGACCTTGGATTATTAAACCCAAAAACATTTTAAAATATCATTCTTGTCTCCTTTTTGGTAGTCTTTCTTCTTGGTAGTGTGCTGTTTGTACAAAGAAGCCAGGCAGAACAATTTCATTTTCTGCTGGTTTTAAACCAGTTGCTCTTGATTTTAGTATAGAAACAAATGGTTGTTGTGGGATAGGTTCATAGTAGAACAGGCAGACTTAGAAATTGTTTCAATCCAACACTCAGTTTACAAAAGATGTGATTTATTTGTAAATCATAAACATATTTTTTAATGTCTTTTTAGAAAGTTTGGCAGCAAACCTATGTTTCTGAATGAGTACATCAAACAGAACTCAGGAAAACCAGCAAACCAGAGTCCTTTTGTACACAATCCACATAAGTGTAAATCCAGAGTGATTTTACCAATGGTAGTGACATTCATTTGGATTTATAACTGTGTAAAATGGTAATGCCCATAATTTTGTTGTTCTTGTGTGGGCAGTAGCTGAGACATCTTAACTTTCATTAAGTCTTTGGCCCAGTCTGAATATTTTATTCCATTAATATAAAGAGAATGTTTCATTATGCAAAAGAATCTGGAGAGGAACAGGAGCTTGGGACAGATGATTTAAAATTCAGTGAAATAAGTTTTGTCAGTGTTCCATCTATGGAGACCCTGGTTGTGTCCCGTGGCACGGTGGAGCTCACACTACAGAGGAGAAACCACAACCACACTGCCCCAGCCTTCCCCAGGGTGAGCCCAGGGGCAGACACAGCTGAGCACTGACTGCTCACCAAGTCGCCTCCATCACTGTGGTCATCATAACTAAATGGTTTACACTCTTCCCCCAGCCCAGCTGTAAGTTAAGATTCTTTTAATTCCCACTTAAGCCAGTACAGTTTCTTTCCCTTTTAGCAGCAAGCAGGGAGCCCCTGCAGATCAGTTACCACAGCTCAGCTGACCCGTGGTGACAATCGCTGTAACCTCACTGCCTATCTGAACCTCACTGAATATCTGACTATTCAAAGTAGGATTTTTGATCTCAGCATTAGGAGGTAAAAAAATCCAGTCTTAAAGGGCATTAAATTCTAATAGTCCAAACACAGAAGCTCTCTTTGATAGGAGTCTGTTTATAGCATAACTTGTATTCTTCCCTCATAGCTAAGAGCACCTTTTCAGCACAGATGTACTGGAGAATCCCTGAGTTAGAGAGTGGAGCACAGCTTCTTGTTTTATATTCTCTGGGCACACTGGCCTCCTTGAAGAAGCTAGATTTTGCAGCTGTGGGTTTGTGAGCTGCCTGAAGACATGCTGCATGCTCTCCTAGTCCCTCAGCCAGTCTTAGCCCAGAATCTGCATCAAAGATTTTGCTTTTCCATACACTTCCCATGGGAGCTTATGCAACTATTGCAATATGTCTGAGCCTCTGACCCTCGAGGGCAGGTGGGCAGAAGTTCACCCTGGTTGCAGCAGTGGGGTCATACATGCTTTTAAGGAATAGGTGCTATGAAATGGGTCTTGTTTAAACCTGACAGTTCGCATTTTCTATGCCAGGATGAGTGAGACTCTTTGAGTTTCTCAGCCATAATATATGGCTGAAAAAATGCAAAACCCAGAGTATTTCCAGCCCCCTGTAGATTTTTTTCCAACCTAAGAGGTTTTTCATTGTATACCCAGATCACAATCCAGGTTGTTGGGCACAGACTCTCACAGGTGGAAGGTGACATGTTTGCATGAACTCACAGGGACAAACTTTCCTTCCCTCCATTGCCTTCTTTTCCCCCTCACTTTTGGGCCTGTGCTTTGCAGCTCTGGGGAGACAGTTACCAGTGTGACAAGCATGTCTCCTCTACAGCCTAAGAAGGTAAAGAAAAAGAAAGAGAAGGAGAAACTGGAGCAGCCACCAGCCATCCCAGCAAAAGGTATGAAAACAGAGGCACAGAGGTATTTCAAATCCTGAGCACAGCCATGGAGGCAGAGCAGAGTGTGGGATGTCAGGAATCCTGCACTTTGCCACTGTCTCTCCTGTGAGGTGACCTGTTCTTGCAGCCATCTGTGGGGAAGGAATGCCCTGTACCTGCTGCTGGGACAGGCTGTCCCCTCCCTGCAGCTTTAGCCATTCTGTGATATGCTACTCAGTGAGTCCAAGCAGGAGGTCTCAGCTCCCACTAACTGAGGAGAGCGAGGAGCCTCTGCAGCAATATTCACCCTGCTCAAAGAGAAGATTAAAGTTAGGCAAATTGAGATTACCTGTTGGGGGTATTCTGAGGGAAGCCAGCACATTGCACTCTTTAAACTGCACTTGGGAAGTCAAGCAAACTGAGCAGATAAAGACCAGCCTCTTGGGGGCTTCATTTTCCAGGAGGGTTTGCAACTCCGGGGTCAGTCTCACAAACTCTGGGGTGTACTATCTGAGCAGCACTGCCTGTGCTGAGCCAGTGGGAGAGGGGAGGGAAAGGGCCTGGAGGTTAGGTCACAAATTATCAGTTCTCAGGGTATACTTGCTCTAGGGTTTGCATATAAACAGCATGTCTTGCATATCAGATTCTTTAATCCTATTAATTTTCCTAATTCAAAACATTCATTATGTTTCTTTGTAAAATACCTGAAATATGGGTAAATTCATATATCTATAAGTACATGCATTTGCTTCTAATTTGCTATTAATATGTAATTTATAAATTGCTTATTATACTAAAAGTGGATGATCATAATATTAAATGATCCCTTAATATTTATTTTTGTAGCTCCAATTGCCAATAATTTCCCGAAGCCCAAGCTCTTGAAACCTCAAAGAAAATTGATCCTGGTGAGTAATTTTCTATGACATAATTTTCTGCATATTCTCTCTCAATACAAATTCTGTAATGTTGCCAGAACTCTAGGTTCAGATATTATAAATTGCCTGAAAAAATCATACAGGTCCCTTTTTTTCTTTAAGTAATAATTTTTCAAGTGATGAATTATCTTGATTCTTTTCATTTTGAGCATTATGTCACTGGGTTATGTTTTCCAGCTAACAGTTGTCATGTGTACAAACTTGGCCTGTCCTTAAATGAAACCTGGTATTCATTCTCACGTGCTTCTGGCAGCTGGTGCAGCTGGTGTTTTGGAAAAAAATACCAGTTACTGGCAGAATCATAACTGTACTCTTATCACACCTCTTTTGATACTTTTCAAGTGAGAAATGGGGAGCCTTATTCTGCACTTCACTGGTATAAATCAGAAATGCCTTGAATTGCAAGAATAAGATGGGTATATATAGCTCATACTAAGGAAAAAACCCTCCATGTCACAGTTTCTCTTGGGTATGAGTTTCTGTTTGAGAAATACCCTTGCAGATACATGCTGGACAAACCAGATGGGTGGTGAGATGTTTCTCTGCTTTTGTAAAAAAGCAGTGCCTGGACAAGACATCCAGTGGTAATAGAGTGGCAGAGTTTTATACCAGCTCCCTTGAGATGCCTGTAGCTGCAGTGGTCTGCTATGCTCCCTGTGTAGGCAATAGAAAGAGAGATGAGTTAGAGTCGGACCCTGGTGCTCCTGGTAATTCAGACTACTGCTCTGAGTTGCCTTTTGGGAATCCTCTCTTCCTTCTCTGGCAATAGAGATCCCAGAGAGACCAACTCGCTGTATTAGGTGAAGGTGGGTGCCTGAAACTATGCCACTGGAATAACTCAAATGCTGTGTGATGGTTTCACTTTCAGGTGAGGCTTAGAATTGGGAACCTCCCCACCAATTGTCAGTAAATAACCCTATTTTTACAACCCTGGATACCTGGGCATAACACCAGGTGACATGAGAACAGTTCAGCTAATATCTTAGGCAATTTTACTGTTTGGATATGGAGCTCATCATTCCTCTGCTGGTCCTGCTGGGGTTGCCCCTTGGCCAGACTCTGTTCATACAGGTCAGACTTTGGTAAAGGAAGAGGCAGAGTTTTAGAACTCCATGAAAACGGTCTTTTGTTGACATAGGTGATTGTGGCAGGCCAAGGCTGTGCTAAGAGGACAAAGACAGAGATGAGAGCATTTGGCACCAGGGGTGACAGCCACCCATTGCTGTGCCCACCGTATAAATCCCAGGCACATCAGTAATCAGGCAGTCTTTAGCCCTCTTAGGAAAAGCCAGTTAAAACACTCAGACTCTTCCTGCAGGTCAATAAAGCACATCAACACATGCTGACCTTGAAGGAAATCTGTTTCCAGATACTTTTTCTTTCTGGAATAATTCCAAGGATAACCCTCAAATAGCTGTTGGCTCTTCCCTTCCTGCTACACACCAGTCAAGGTCCAAACACTTTGGAGGTGAGCAGGAGTAAAACCTTTTCAAACAACAAAATCAGCTTTGTCTCCCCTAGCACAGCTGAGGATCCACACGCTGCATGCAGACTGCAAACTCTGTTTTAATGCCTTGCTGGTGGACTTCAGTCTGGCAGCTCTTTCCATATATTGCTCTCTTCCCTTTCATATTTCACCTCAGAGTGCACCTGGAGAGATGTAGCAGCCCACAGAAAGTACACAGTCTATGGACATGTTTTAAGTTAAAAGTGATCCAACAAATATGGACTCACCTAGCAATAAAGTGCATTAAGGGACAAAATAAACTAAACCAAAGTCAAGTCTATGAGACACATTCAGAAGCTGAGCAAGGCACTTCCCAGAGCAGTTTCCCAGTTCTCTTCCTCTTACCTACTTTTACAGCACAGTTGGCAATATTTTTGTATTTTCAGGAAAAAATAATCCATAATTTCTGCTTTTAAACTGCTTTTTATCAGTAAGGAAAATTAAACTAATTTAAGTTAGAGAAGTTTAAAGAAAGATAAAGAATGCAGAAAATACAGAGAAAAAGACATACCAAATACATCTAAATGAAACCTTTTCTTTATTTTTGGCAAACTTGTCTCCCCATTTTAATTCTCAAAAAATTCTCAGATTTAAAATTTTCCATCTGCTTTGGGGCAAAAATAATTATCAACATCCTGCCAAATCTCTGCAGGATAAAAATAACCTTTTCTTTCCAGCGATAATGATTGCACAGCTGGTGTCTATACTAGGTCTTTTTTCACTGATGGCACACACTTAACCACGTAATCACTACTGCAAAGACAGACACAAATTGCTGAGTTCTGGGCTACTTCTGAAGCTTCTGTATGCAACCCAAGGAAGGAACTATACTGGGGCACCAGGAGAATATTCTAGAAAACCTAAGCTAACAAGCTAGAGTGTGAAGGAACATTACAAAATAATTCCAGTGTTTTGGGAAATTTTTTTGTAATAGCCTAAATACCAGCAAAATTATTTCCAGAGGACATATGCTTTTGGTTTCTTGAAAGATGTTTATAATAAGCTAGAGAATTTCTTTTGTTGTTAACGTGCTAGAGTGGATTGCAGTATAATTTTACAAGAACACAATAACCTGGATAAAATATGGACATAATCTCAATGAAAATTAAAAAAAAAGAGCGTGAGAGAGAGAAAGCCTAATACCAAGTTCAATTGCACAGCTTTGAGTAAAGCCTTTTAAATACTCTGCTTAAGTCATATTGCTTTTGCTTTAGCCAGAATAACGATTTTGTGCTCCCCCGTTGCAAAAATATTCCCCATCAGTGTCATTCTCTATTAGTATCAATGAGAAATGTGTACAGATCAAAGGAAATAGAGATACTGAAATGCAAAAAGGGATGTTTTTTATAGCATGCAAGAAGCACAGAGAGTCATTATGAAGAAGAAAATTCTGGGGGCCCACAAACTCTTCTCTCTATAGACTGTTCTGCTCTAGCCTTAAGTACTTAGCCCTTTGAGTTGGTAGACATAAATCTTCTGCTTCCTCAACCAAATTTTCTGGCAAGCCTTTCATTGCCTCCTAGAGATTAGCTGTCGTAGCCCAAGAGTGTCAGTTGCAGAACATCATCTAAATGAAAAGGCTTTAGTGCCTTTTCATGAAGGTTTTAACCATCAATCTTAGGAGCTCCTGTGTGATTCACTACAACCAATGGAAAGGGTGTGACTTCAGGTTGGATCAAACCTTTAAATCCTTACTTATGCAAAATTTTTGTTGACTTCATCATTTTCACACTTAATTTTAAGGGGAGGGATATCTGCCCAGATAATACAGGCTTATAGGGAATCTTCTGATTCTGCCACTGATGTTCACTCTGCTAGATCATATAAATATCACACTTTGAAATCAGGTAAATATCTCCTGCACTACAAATTATCCCCTTGGGCTCAGTTCTTCGAACATGCCCACATAAATGTCACAGCCCACAAGAGCTGGCTTCTGCTGTTCCTACACTGACTAACCTCTTGAATAACCTCTCTGTTGAATAGACTGTGTCTGGCTTCTCTTGTTCCTGTGGGACTTCTGGAGCAGAGTCCTCTCAGTGACCATAGTGCTGAGCTATTTAAGAGAAGCATCCTTCTGCCTTCAGCTCGTACAGCTGACAGGATTGTTTATTTCATCATGGTTTGGGTTACCAGTGGCTCAGTGCTACATGGTTACTGAGATCTGCTTTTGATGATGATGATGTAAAAGCTACTTGAGAAACAGGAAGAGATTATGGTTATCTAAGACTGAGGGAAAATTCTAGCAGTCAGTATTTTGCACCACTAGTAGGATTCCTCAGTAGTCTTAACTGTAGGTATCACTGACCTTTTCCTTGAGAAAGAAAAAGGAAGTGAAATACATCTGCCCAGTAATTTATAAATTCTGAAGGTGGAAGCAATCAGGTCTTGCCTTCTACTGGATGATTTTAAATTAAAAGCTGTGCCACTCTGTTAGAAGATTTGCTTCCTCCACAACATGCAACAATGAGCAATGATTTAAGATCTCAATTTCTTAATTATTGATTTGCATTATTGATCTCCACAGACTTCCAGTACGACCATACATATGATATACTAAGGAGTGGTAAACGTTTTTCCCTAGACTCCCTGTTATTCTTTAATATTTCCATTTAGTCCTCATAATTCCTTTCTCTGTAAAATGAGTAGTCCTTTTTTTTTTAGTTTCTCCATAGGATGTGAGATATCCATGGGACATGAATATCATTTGCACATTCAGGTTGACACTTGGAACTCAAAATGCTCGAAGCTGCTGAATTATGCTTGCTTCCCCATTCAGATTGTAGTTGCTATCTTCACCCCCAAGAAGGAATAATTTGTATAAATAGGTAAAATTTCTTGTTGGATCTGGATTGAGACTTGTGTATTTACAAAATCCCACAGTAGATGATTTTTGTGTGATGACACATTTGGTGCAACAAAAGTGTCACCAGTGAAGTGAAAACTTTTAATTACTTTGTTGGCTTTTTTGGAATGATAAGAAGGGATCAGCCTGATTTCCAGAAGTGTTGGTTTAGAATCTAGGAATAACTGCAACTGTAAAAGCAATAGAGTATCAGCAAAAGTGAGGATGCTCGTCCCCAAAACTCATTCAATGGGACTTATCAAATCATCTTCATCCCTCACTCTGTAATCATAACTTCCGTGGGATTCAGTAAAAAAATTTAGATGCAGTGAGAGAGTCTTCATAAATTGTTGTAGATATTGTTCTCGGGGAGTATAGGAAACATTTTATGCTATAGGGAGCAAAAAATAGGTGTCTGTGGGAAAAAAAAACTTGCCCTTTTTAACTGATAATGCCACTAAAACACATAATTACTACATTTCATATTTTCCAATGTCATATTTCTTGGCTTTGGTACTGAATATCTCTCTTGATATTTCAGCATTCTTACTGGCCAGTGGATTGATTTCTAGAGGATAAGTCATTTTGCAGATCTAGCTTCAGAACTTCTGCAGAAGT